TATAGAGACCAGAACTCAAGGCAACATAAAGAAATAGAGGAGATACTTTTCTATGTATAGGGTACTTCAGTAGCCAACTTAATAAAGTGCAGATGCAACAACATCTGGACAGAGGAAGTCCCTGTGCTTTCAAGCTTCAGCAGCAGACAGGCCACTTTGTTATTTATTATTCTCTGATATCATCTCTCCTCACTGTTCTCTTTAAAAAATGGTATGATTTCTTTTTTTAAGAATTATTTATTTAGTTTTATTTATTAGCCTCATTATTATTTTTTAAATCTTACCAGAGAAAGACAGAGAAAGAGAGAGTGGGAAAGTGAAAAAGCGAGCTGCCATGTCTGGGACTCAGACTGTGGTTGGCCATGTGAATCCAGCACCTTAACCTCTATGCCACCTGCTGGCTCCAATTGTATAATTTCTTATTCATATTTAATAGTACATCTTTATAGCACAGAATATAGTTTTTCAAAGTAGGCGTGTAGTATGTGACAAATAAAAGGTATCACCATAGACATAAGTTTACTATTTTTTTTGAGAGTATTTTTCTGTAGGTTGTGTGCACTCACCAGAAAGGCAGAGAGAGACAGAGAGACAGAAAGTGAGAAATCACTCCCCAGGGGGGCTGGTCACGCCACAATCCCTTCTCCTCCATTCTCTTCTTGGGATCTTGGGCACGCGTGCACATGCGCGTGGCTTGAGTTTAAGCCACTGGGTTTGGGACTCAAATCGTGATCTACTACATGGGAGTCCAGTGACATAGCCATTATGTCAACTGCTGGTCCTACCATAGACATAATTTTCAACGGTGGACTTTGCATTCTTATATCTGTTATGTATTTCTTCTCTGATCCCTCCCCCATCCACCCTAGACTGTCCAACCCTCTCATGTACATTCTCTGATATATATATTTGCCCTCCCTACTGTTAGATCTTAAGATCCCTCAATTTCTGCCTAGAATGGGGTTATCCAGTGTGTGTCTTCCATAGTCTGACTTCCTTTGCTTAGCATTAAACTTTCTATATCTCTCTACTTTAAGTCACATGGCAGGAGTGGGTGGTAGAAGGTAGGCGAGAGGGCCCCAGGGGGAATAAAACCCTTATACCCTTATTAAATACAAGATTGCAAAGTTCTCTATTGAAAATGATGCTTATGGGGGACCAGCATATGGCTCAATGGTTATGTCACTGGACTCCCATGTAATTGATTGCGGTTCAAATTCTGGACCTGGTGGCTTCAAACTCATGCCAGGCACATGTGCATGTGCACCAAAATTCTTGAGAGAAGAATGGAGGAGAAGGGACTGCGGCGTAGCCATCTTCCCTGTGGGGTGATTTATCACTTTCTATCTCTCATTATCTCTGTGGCAAGTGCATACACCCTACATCAAAAATCTCTAGGAAAAAAATAGTGTTTATGGCAATGTCCTTGATTTGATTATCATGCAATGCATACATACTTTGAAAAACATCTAGTGTGTCATAGAGATGTACAATGACTGAATGTAAGCAACAAACCATAAACTAAAGAAAGATAATGAAATATCTCTGTAGGATACATGGTCCTGGGAAAAGGCTGATCCTAAAAGAGAAATTCTTAATTAGAGGTGATAAGGGAATGTCTTAAAGGTCCACACACAAATTATAGAAATTAAGTTCTTAATTACAAATGGTAGCATTTCTGAAATGTGAATAATGCATAGTTGTGCCATATTCTCTTTCTCTTTTTGTCGGTGGGCACATCAAGTAAATGGAACGAGGGAATGAAACGCAAATTTCAGAATTTCTTCTTCTGGGGCTTTCAGAGGAATCCGAATTGCAGCCCCTCCTATTTGGTCTTTTCCTCTGCATGTACCTGATCACCGTGTGTGGAAACCTGCTCATCATCCTGGCCACCATCTCAGCCTCTCACCTGCACACCCCCATGTACTTCTTCCTCTCCAACCTGTCCTTCATAGACATCTGCTTCACCTCCACCACCATCCCAAAGATGCTGGTGAACATCCAGACACAGAGCAAGGTCATCACCTATGCAGGCTGCATCACCCAGATGAACTTTTTCAACCTCTTTATAGTGTTGGATGACTGTCTCCTGACAGTGATGGCCTATGACCGGTATGTGGCCATCTGTCACCCCCTGCACTACACGGCCATCATGCACTTTCGGCTCTGTGTGTTGCTGCTTCTGGCGTCCTGGACCCTGAGTGTCCTGAATTCCTTGTTACATAGCTTAATGATGTTGCGATTGTCCTTCTGCACACAGGGGGAAATTCCCCACTTTTTCTGTGAATTTAATCAGGTGGTCCACCTTGCCTGTTCTGACACCTTTGTTAATGACACGGTGGCGTATTTTACATCTGCGCTGCTGGGTGGCGTTCCTCTTGTTGGGATCCTTTACTCTTACTGTAAGATAGTTTCCTCCATTCGTGCAATCTCATCCGCTCAGGGGAAGTACAAAGCCTTTTCCACCTGTGCCTCTCACCTCTCAGTTGTCTCCTTATTTTATTGTACAATCCTAGCAGTGTACCTTAGTCCTGGTGCTACTCACAGCTCACTCTCAAGTGCAACAGCCTCGGTGATGTACACTGTGGTCACCCCCATGCTGAACCCCTTCATCTACAGTCTGAGGAATAAAGACATAAAGAGGGCCCTGAAAGGATTTCTCAGATAGGATCTATTAAATAGGGCCATTTTTCAAGAGTGTCTATGATTGCAGGCATCTAAACCTCTGAACCAAAAATCGTGATTCTTGAATCAGATTGCAGATGCAGAACTTGCTAAATCTCTTTATTTCCTGGAATTTAAATTTCTTTTATCTCAGTTATTTGTAATATAGTTTTTTTTAAAGAAAATATAAATCTTCCTTCTATCTGATATCAATTTTTCTTTGTCATTTCACTATGTTTCAATGTTTATGCTTAAGCTAGCTTAGGAGACAATTTGGGGGTCAGTGAGTGATGTACGGTTAAGGAACTGGAGTCCCAACTGCCTGACCGTGGTTCGAGTCCCAAACCCAGCAGTTTGAAACTCATGCTGGGTGCGTGCATATGTGTATCCAAAATCCTGAAAGGAGCTTGGATGAGAGGGGTTTGCAGCATGGCCATTCCCCCGGAGGGTGCTTTCACATTTTCTCTCTGTCTCTCTGGAGAGCATACACACTGTATAACAAAAATTGTGTGTGTGTGTGTTTGTGTGTGTGTATAAAAAAATCAGGGACCAGCAGTTAGCATTAATGGCTATGTTACTGGACTCCCACGTAGTCGACTGTGGTTCGAGTACCGAACCTGGCGGCTTAAACTCACAACGGGTGCATGCGTGTGCCTGCCCAAGATCCCGAGAGGAGAATGGAAGAGAAGAGATTGCTGCATGGCCATCCCCCCTGGGGGTGATTTCTTGCTTTCTATCTCTCTGTCTCTCTCTGTCTTTCCAGCGAGCGCATGTGCTCTATAGCAAAAAAAAAAAAAAAAAAAAAAGTTCAGAGAAAAAAATCAATTTAAAGTTTCCTACTTGTTTCAAACAATCTGAATATCCTTCTGAAAACCTGAAATTGGAAATGTTTTAGAATTTGAAACTTTCTGAACACTGACATGAAGCTATAAATGGAAAGTTTGTACCTGACCTCATGTGATAAGTCACTGCACTACGACTGGGACCAGCAGGTGGTGTAGTAGTTGAGGTGCTGGACTTCCACATGGTTGACCATGGTTTGAGTTCTGGACTTGGAGGTTTGAAACTCAAGGCAGATGTGTGTGCTTGTGTGCCCACGATCCCAAAAGGAGTATAGAGAAGAAGGGATTGCAACATGGCCATTCCCCCTGGGGGGGGTGTTTTTTCACTTTTTGTCTCTGTCTCTCTGGTGAGTCACTGTGCTGCATAGCAAAAATCTCTCAAAAACAAAACAAAACACTGTAATACAGCAAGGTTGTTTTTAAAATTACCTTCAGGCTTTGTGTATTATGTGTAGATGTAACATAACTGAATTTTGTGTTTATACTTGAATCCAGTACTGAAGATATCAAATTATGTTTACTCAAATATGGAAAAATCAGACAATAATACCTGGAATGTGAAACACTTCAGGCTCCAAGCATTTAGGACAAGGGAAATTCAACATGGGGGCTAGCAGATTGCATGAGTTACACTGCTGGACTCCCACATGGACGACTGTGGTTCAAGTCTCGGACCCAGTGGCTTGAAAATCACACCAAGCATGTGTGCATGTGTGCCCAAGACCCCAGGAGAAGAATGGAGAAGGTATTGCTGTTTGGCCATCCTCCCTGAAAGGGCAATTTCTCACTTTCCCTCTCACTGTCTCTGTCTCTCTCTCTCTGATGAGTGCTCATGCCATATGGCAAAGACCTCTAAAAAATTTCACCCTTATTGCGATAAGCTGTATTAGTTTTATGAAACAAAGTAGGCTTGGCAACTACAAGGTTTTAATATAATTTTATGGTAGATGAATATCTGAGACTACAGATCTTCATGGTTGCAACCTTCATTCCTTTCTATGTAATTAACTTAACTGCTCTTGCTGGTAATGAATAGTGTGGTTTTTAGCTAATGGTGGCATTTTATTCTCCTCATTAGGCTCCTGTTCTCTTTTCAGCTCAATATCAACAAAGCCTATTTGATTCCTTGTCAAAGAATAGGAAAGAAAACTGCTGATCTGATACAAGTTTCAGGGGGTGTACACAGAGAAATATGCTTCATGAATCAATTGATTTAAAAAATGACCTCCATGTCAGAGATGATCCTAAATATAATGGAGTAACATTTTCTTTTCTTTTTTTTTCTTTTCTTTCCCTTTCTTTCTCTTCTCTTCTTTTTTCTTTTCTCTTCTTTTTCTTTTTCTTTCTTTTTTTCCTTCCTTCCTTCCTTCCTTCCTTCCTTCCTTCCTTCCTTCCTTCCTTCCTTCCTTCCTTCCTTCCTTCCTTCCTTCTTTCTTTCTTTCTTTCTTTCTTTCTTTCTTTCTTTCTTTCTTTCTTTCTTTCTTTCTTTTTCTTTCTTCTTTCTTTTTTTTTTTTTTTAAATCATCATACATAGGGACCAGCAGTTAGTGTAAAATCACCATACATATTTACTCTATGGAATACTATTCGGCCATACAAAACAACAAGACACTGACATCTGATAGAAAGTAGTTGAATATGGAGGATTTATTGCTGAGCGAAGCAAGCCAGGTTATGAAAGAAAGATATTGTAGGTATCCACTGAATATATACCGACTATCCACACTCTATAGTAGAGGTTGAAATATTGGAGGGCATAAAAGCAGTGAAAATAGTTATGGATGCTGAAGACAGTGTGGAAAGGGGGTGGAGGAAAGAAGAGAAAAGTATAGAGAAGAATAGCAAGAGAACAAATAGCGAGGCATGATGTTTGTGGGACACAGAAATGGTTTATTACCTGTTGATGATGACATGTATAGTATTCTCTACTGGACTGCTCTGAGAAGAATTTCATGTTGGGTAAATTCTCTTTACAAATCAAATGATGTATAGTGATTGGATGTTAAAAAAAGAGAGAATAAATAATAACAATAATAATCATCTAAAAAAATGAAAAGCTATTGGATGATGATGTGGATAGTAATGTCTTTGTCTTTACTGATATGCATGGTAATCGTGCTGGAAAAAGAAGTGTCCAGAATGTCTGGACCCCTCCTAGACTTCCCAATTCAGCACGGAAATGGATGAAGATCCCCACATGGATGCTGGAGATATTCTAGTCTAGGGCAGTGTCTCTCAGCCTCTCACTGTTGACATTCGCACTATATGTGTCGTGAGGTGTCCTGCACACTCTGTGTGTTGAGCACCATCCCTGGGTTCAACCCACAAGGTGCAAGCTCCACCTCCCCAGCTTGTAACAACCAAAATCTCCTCCAGAAATAATTCCATTTCTTTTAGAGACACAATCAATCCAGTTGAGAACCCTGGCCCAGATCATGAGACCTAGAATCTTCCTGATGGAGTGTCAATGAAAGTTCATCTCTGACTAGGTTTATAAATATTGGCAGGTTAAGCTCTTTATTATTTATTTATTTATTTATTTTTT